ATTCCCATGGTGTCAAAGTGGTGCAGGATTCGTCCATCCACAGTATCAAGAGGTTTTGATGCCGTGCTTACTGGACCGTGCCCTTTCCAGCCCATCCTGTAGCATTGTTGAGAGTTCGGTGCCTGACCCTATTGTTCAAAATTGACAGCATGTCCCGCCTAACATCCCGAAAGGCAGCTGAAAATCAAATGGCAATACATGAGTGACAGCGCGGGGTAGTGACTCTTCAAACGCGTACTGTCGGGGGATCAATAGGGCAACCTGAAAACAAACCGGGGCTAAATTGCGGGTTTGCCCAGAAAGTTGTTCAGAAAGTATTCTTTGTTATTGACTACGTTAGTTTGCACGATCTGTGTTTCCCACAACCCCATGTACCCATTCTGTTATCTTGCCCCAATTTGCTCATTGCTGTCCAAAGTTAGGTCTTGGTAGCTCTCAGCCATCCCTTAGGCACTTGTCGGCCGCTTTTGTTTGGCCCCGACAGGCATCCTATTTCAATCTAGATGTGCCGTTTGCTGACATGAATGGATCTCCTGCTTTCTCGATAGACACGAATCCTCTTTGGGCTTTTTGGCGGGGTGGCTTTGCTTTTCTGCGCTCCCCTTGTGCCATTGCACTGATCTTTCATGGATTTGAGTTTCCTGGTTTCAAGAATTCATGCCTGCGCGTGATATATGTCGCGCGTGTTTCGACAAAGACCCACAAGCAAAGATTGAGAGACAAACCCATTGCCAACTGAACGAATATTTTTTTTAGCCGGCCACATCAGACGGAGCTCTTGCCCGGTTATGATTCTGGAAACCAACCATGCTTTATGCTTGATGGTAATGCGTTGAGGCAGCATGCAATTTACACATACACTTGTATATGGACATATAATACGGACATATACATATATTGAGTTTGCAAACAATGTACATGTACCTGTGTGTTTTCTCTCTCTCTCTCTACAGAAGCTTTAGTAGCATTGTGGCAGCAGCATCAAGGCGTTCGGGGTTCAGACAAAGTCAGGTGAATGGTCCCGACCGGAAGAAGCGCTACGAGAAAACCTCTGCACGGATCTTGGAAATGGAGTGAATTTGCCTTGGGCTCGCGCCGGTGTGCAAATGCAATCACTTGGTTTCTATGTCAATGTGTGTGTGTGTATCATCCATTTGCTCAATGATATGGCTTATGTGTCCGTGCAGGTTTGTTAAATAGTCTATGCCTGTGTGTTTATGACACATCACACAGAAAACACCCGTTGGGGCCCATGTTGGGACGAAACAGCAACGGCTTCTTGGTATATGACCGTGAGGGTCGTGGGCTTCAGTGTTTTTTTGGTTCGAGTTGACTTGTTCGGCAAGCGTTCTGTTGGGAGACGCGCGTTCTCAACAAAGCGTGAATCGCGTGAATTCAGTGGACTGGGTTCCCAACTGGGAAGCACCCTTTGATTCTTACCCAGAATTAGCTCCCCTTTTTGCCTTTTTGCTTTTTTTGAGGTCCCTTTGTTTTCCACTAACCAGGCAAAAAAGACATTTTTTTGCTGGGGTTCTAACTCCAGCCTAGGAGATAGCTAGGAATGCAACTGGAAGCTTCAAACCAACAAAAACAAACATGGCAGAACGGCCATGCTCAGCAATGCACCAACGGAATGGGCCGGGCGTCTGCGTTATCCTGTGTTGCTGGGCGGGAGGGAGGGAGGTTCACCAGTGTTCTGTGATGTGGATTTGTTTGTTTGCTTCTTTGTGTGCTTGTGTGTTTGTTTGTTTGCTTGCTTGCGTGTTTCTTAGTTTCTTTGTTCGGGATGATACTGGAGCGGTATTAGCTTGTCTGTGTGCAGCAGGCTGCCCTTTGCAAATGAAAAGGCCGCCTTCCTTCTGATCACACGTGTTCCATGCATTATGGGCGAGCAGCCTGCTTTTGGTCTGAGTGAAAAAACAACGTCTGACAAATGTGGGACGTGGCTGCACAGACGCCTTGAAGAATCCACATTTTGAAGAATCCAATTCTGACCCAAGGCGGCGCATGCACTGCCCTTTGCAACAACACCCGTGTTTCTCTCGGGTATGACATTGGGTTTTTGAGGCTCCTGGTATGCTGGTACGCTAGGTTTTCTTGACTCTCGCGCTGCCAAACTCCTTTTGAGCCTCAGGCACGCGCACTGGTGGCGGATGTCTACCAGCAGGACCTCCTACTCCCCAAGTTTCGGCTGACGTCTCCATGGCCAGCAACCGTCCACCGAACCTTAGTTGCCGTGTTCACCTACGGAGCATGTTTTGGCACTTTGAGTTTCTTCAGGAAAAGCCGGTAGAAGTTAAATAATTTGAGGCGAATTGCAGCCATTGTAGGCGACTTGCTGAATAGCATGTTTTTATCCAACCAGTTCCTTTCCCATCTAAGGTTCCGCACAAATCTGTTGGGTACCAAATCGTTCCGTACTGCCGTTTACATCATTGATGCCATGGGTTCCTTAGAACCTTGTTAGCTGGAACGGGTTTATATGTTTAGTTTGTTCGTGGCTATCGAATGCTGGCCCTCCCCCTCAAGGAGAACTTGAACGACTGCGGCGTGTTCGTTCTGGAGAACATGCTTCGGCGCGATCCTCAGAAAGCTTGGCCGCCTTTGATCGTAGAGCACACTATAGAATTCAAGTGAGCCGAGTCGCAGGGTGTACAGTGCGCTGAAGCTTAGTCATGCACTCATACTTATGCCCGCACTGAGACATGCGCACGCACACCGGAACTCACGTGCTCAGACATTAGAACCTGGTTGAGAGCGTTTAATAGCCGGCAGGAGGTCCGTACGTGGCCGACAGTGATTGCATGTTTGTTTGAATTCCCACCAACGGCTGTGCTGCACAGTGCTGGAGGAATTGAATTTCAAGGTTTGACATTGATGGCAATCCCAGGATTCCTGTTCCTGTGTAAGCAGTGGTTTCCTGTTGACACAATCCATTTTGTCGGGTGAATAATTGTCTGGTTGGTCGAAAATCAACTGGCTTTGCATGATTGCATGGATTGGCTTCCCAATCAACAGTGGAACCATGCGCGGTTCCAATCCAGGGGTGCGTCAAATAGAGCAGGTTTGCGAGGTGCCTTTTTTGTCAGCTATAAGAATTCCATTCGGCCGGCTCTGCAGCTTGTCAGACGGAACGCCTTGACACGGATTGCATGGTCTCCTTGCAAGCGCCTGGAATGCTTCTTGTTGCGCCATGTCCGGGAGTGATGGATGTTCAGATGAAAGTTGTCCTATATTCTTTTGCCCGGGATTGGGTCCTTGGCCCGCACTTGCGCGCGGACTTGCACGCGCACAGCGACGCAGAAACTAGATTTCGTTGACCTCGGTTTGAGAAGTTTTCGTGTGGATTGCGCGTGAGCTTTTCGAAGCAGTGTGTCACACAGTAACCCACGCTTCCCGCTGAGGTTGCTCCCAGCAGTTCTAGGCCAGCAACATATTCTTGACCCAACAGAAAACGCGGCAGGCTCTGCCACACAGCTTGGACACAGCCTGAAACAAGGAGAGTGCATGTTGCGGCAACCTATCCATTGCTTGAACTGCGCCGATAAGGACATCCGACACAGCAAATGGCGAGATGTCTTGCTAGGACTTCTCGTGCTCGCGCGCAACTTGCGCGCGGCTTGCGCGCGGCGTGCGCGCGGCGTGCGCGGATTTTGTCGTGTCAGTTGTTGACTGTTGAAGTCATGACCGCCGAATCTTTGGCTTCCACTTTGGCGTCTGACTGAAGAAAACGCTGCAGTCGGCTGCAGATGTGTGTGCGTGTGTGTTTCAGACCTTTGCCCTGGACAACTCACAAAAGTTTAAAAGGCAGAAGCAAACCTTTGCAACCATCTTGTGGCCTACACGCGACAAGCAAGTGCAGTATTTAAAATATCACTCCTCCCATGAAGTAGGCAACATCACTGCATGAAACCTTTCAAATCTGTAACCTTGTGCATCCCTTGGGCCACAGCTTTTGACAACGTTTACTTCTCCCTGTTCGGCGACAATTAAAATCGAAGACTGGGGTTTTAGGACGGCCCTCAGATGCATAGAGCTGGGAAACCAAGACCGGCAGAGGTGACCAGCGGGAACCCTGACACCAAGAGGATGTAAGGGATACTGGTTTTCTTTGGTTGGTGCCCTGAGCTGGTGACTGTACACTTTACCTACTTGGTGTCGGAGACACGACCATCCAAAAGGAAAACGGTCCAAACCAGGTCCCCCCTCCTGTCGGGTGAAAGGGGGTGGGAGGGTCCTTGCGGGTTCTGGGGAGGTCGTTGTCCATGAAGAAAGACTTCCTGAAGCAGATGTCCGTTGCGACGCCCACGGAGATCCACGCATGGTTGTCGCATCGGACTGGTGGGGGTGGTTTGAGACGTGCATCCGGGGTTAGCGAACAGTTTGGCCAAATCCGTTGGTCAAATGCCCACCAGCACCAGCACCACCACCAGCAGCAGCGGCAGCAAACCCCCCCCCAATCCACCCTTGAGGTAGGGACGGCCTTGGCAGTTGGCTTGGCTTAGCACTTCGAAGGGTGACTCTTGACCTCCGAGGGGCTTAAAGAACTGCTAGGATTCAGAAGGCTGGTTTGGGAGGGTTTGGGCTTCGGTGTTGCGCGCACTGTTGGGTGGTCGTTTTTTGGGGAAGACCAAAGCAATACCGCCCATAGGTGGCCTTTTCAAATGAGTTTGGTTCGAAATAGAAGACACTGGTCTTTAGATTGGTTTTATTCGATTTGCAAGGGCAATCTTTTTTTCTAAAAGGTCACCTATGGCGCTATTTGATTAGACCAACTCGCAGCTTTTTGTGGCAGGCGGATTTTGGGGCCCTCCAATTCCATCTGGGGTTCAGGACCTGGGTGTTGCTGGCCTCCACGGCTAGGTGAGAAGCACAGACAACATAGCTGGAAATGGGCCGTGGATTTCTTTCGTGACTCCATGGACGCAAAGTGAGAACATGGCTGGAAATGGCCTGTGGATTTCTTTCGTGACTTCATGACTCCATGACAAGTGGGGACACGAACTAGGTCCCAACACAGGCAAAGCACTTGGTCCGCTTGCCATGGGGTGTCGGGGCCGCGGCCCTGCGGCGGCCGAGCATGAGCAGGCAGGCGACAGTGTGACAGTCAGGCGTCAGACCTGGACGCATAAGCCCGGCGGATAAATGGGGGAGGTTTCTACGAAACACCTCTAGTTCACCAAGAGTTTGTTGTTCCAGGTTCCCTTTCCTCAAGAGCTTGCCCCATGTCAAGGTAGCCCGTTGACGAGCAATTAGATCTCGTCAAAAGTTAGCAGCACAGCGCTGGTCATGAAGAGCAAGTGGGATTCGCAGGACCAGGACATAAGAGTTTTGGAAATCATGCGGGGTACGTCTCAAAATAGGGGGGCTCCAAACTCTTCTTTTTTTGCCGGTTGGTTCCCCGTCAATCCTACCTGAAAAGGGGACTCAACACAAACCCGCGCTAAAGGATCATTTTCCAACACAGTCGAATCGGGTTCTGGGGTTCCGGTGCATGGCCCTCTTGGCTGAGGTGCTGATTTGTCGAGTGCTAAAACTTGAAGACCGTATGGCAAAGCAAACCTGTTGGTTGAAGGGGTGTGAACTGTTGACAAGCCTTTATGGTGGTTGCAGGTTGCTTGTCGGCGATTTGAGACAAGTTGCTGGCTAGGCGTGTATCTGAGTGCCAATCGTTTTAGACAAGTGAAGCCAGCAGAGCCGGCGGCAGTTTCAAAATATTACAACCATAGCATTGTCCTATTCCCTTTGTCTCTCTCGTTTTGTTGATATATATATTTTTATTCATGTTTCTCTGTTCCTTTTTCCCCTTCGTTATTTTCATCTTGTTCTTATTGTTATTCTTGCTCTTCCCCTTGCTCTTTCTCTATTGTTCTTCTCTTTGTCTCTTTTTTCTCTCTCTCTCTCTGTGTCTCTCTCTCTCTCTCTCTCTTTCTGAGCTTTTTGATCTTTATCTTTGTCTTTCTTTCTTATTGTTGTCATTTGTCTTTATCTTTGTATTTATATGTTGCTTTCTCTTCATGTTGCTCTGTTTCTTTATCTTCCTCTTTCTGTCTTTTGTTATTTCTTTCTTTCTTTCTTTCTTTCTTTCTTTCTTTCTTTCTTTCTTTCTTTCTTTCTTAATTTCTTTCTTTCTTTCGTTTGTTCGTCCGTTCGTTCGTTCGTTCTTTCGTTCTTTCGTTGTTTTGTTCTTTCGTTCTTTCGTTCTTTCGTTATTTTGTTATTTATTTATGTCTTTATTTCTGTCTTTCTTTCTTTATTTCTTTCTTTCTTTCTTTCTTTCTTTCTTTCTTTCTTTCTTTCTTTCTTTCTTTCTGTCTCTCTCTCTCTCTCTATCTATCTATCTATCTATCTATCTATCTATCTATCTATCTATCTATCTATCCATCTGTCTCTTTCTCTCTCTCTCCAGCCCACGAAAGCTTGTAAAACAATGCCAAAGAACACCGAGTTGTTTGAGACTGACCCGCGAAAGTCCGCGAACAAAGTGAAGAGCACCGTGTTTTAGGCTAAGCACAAGCTCAGGTCGACCCCGAGTCCACTGAGTGTTGCGCGAGCCCAATTCACGCAGAGGGTCACGTGTCCGGCCTCTTTTAAAAGTTTTTTCACGTGCGGTGCATCTAAAGATCATGGTGCATTGTTGGAGCTCCAGTTCTAGTAGGGGAGCCCCTTCTAAACATCCTTTATAATGTTGACCCGGATTAAGAAACCCTTGTTTATTAATATGGGGGTGTTCCTCTCCAAACGTGATGCTTCCCACCAAAACCAGGGAAGCCCCCATATTAATAAACAGGGGTTTATTAATCCGGGGTCAACATTACCTAAAATGAGGTTCAATCAATATGGACTATTGTGAAAGATTCTGAAGGACCTGGCGGAGTTTCCCACAGACAGGGGACTCACCCATTTTGCCATGCGGGGGTCTGAGAAATGCGCCACGGAGAATGCCCAGAAAGATGACCATTGGGCTGCCAAGAACATATAGGTGGCTCGTCTTTGTTAAGGTTGGACCCCCCAAATTGGTAGCTTTCCTTTTGGTGCCCCTTGTAAAACCACCCCAAAAAGAATAACCTCAAAAGCTGACACACCCATAGGGTTTGTTTCGTCCCCAATAAACCTTGCAGCCTTTCATGGTGCAACAGCCTCGCAGGCAGATGCTGGCGCTCATCTGCCTGGCCAGATTGGACCCCCTCCAGGCCGCAGGGAACTGTGCGAAGCTCGCGGGCTGCATCAACATGGAAGGCGGGGCATCTTGAAACCGGGTGGGCTGGACTCCTGGGTCCCCCAGCTTTAGCGCCTTTTTTGGTTGGCAGGGTTCCCCTACTAAAATAGACTGCAGAAAAAAGTTGGTACCCTTATGCTAGCTTCTCTACTGGAGGACCTAGATTGTCACACAAGCCGTTGAATTGCCCCATTCCATTGCAAATAGACTACCACGAAGAGAACGGAAGCCTCCTGATGTACAACTTTGGCGAAACCCGAGGGGGCCAGTTTCGACTGGAGGACAGTCACCCGACTGCTGCAAGGCATTGCAAACGCGTGAATCCGATGCACGCTGGCACGTGAAGCAGCTGCTTCGCGTTAACATGGCACGTCAGAGCATGGCTTGCTTGGTTGCTTGGATTCTGGTTGATGTATTTTTGTTTTTGTGGCAAAGCGCTCAATCTACAGGGCCGGCAATTCTGCCAGACTTCTGTACTCAGCCAAACAACGTTTGTGTAGAGGTCAACTACACCTTTTGAAGCCCGATGACAACGAGGCAGAAGATGTGCTTTGACATGTCTAATGTCCCACTTACATACCCCAAATGGACACCCCAATGTTCGGAATGTTCAGGGGTAGTACAGGGGACGTCTACGGGTAGGTTCACTTGGGGGTAAGTACGGCCTGGAACTGGAGTCCTGTTCAGGTGGTTGCCAGCACGAAAAAGGCATCAAACTCGTTCCACTTCGCATGCGAAGAACTGCTCCAAGTTGATGCCCTCTCTTGTTCCCTGGTATACCTTTTCTTTGTTCTTCTTAGTGACAGGAGGTTCGGGCACTTCTCCCATCCGGGTTACAACACTTTGCTTGACATTTCGGGATTCGACCCCGGTTGAGGCGGAGATCAGGTTCGGCCCATCCTGACGGGCGAGCAGAGCTTCACCGAGGCTGACGGCAGCTGCACCTTCGGCCACGTGGCCCAGGCGTCGCTGGCCAAGAGTGACTCAGAGGCTAGACATAATACATGTCTATATATAGATCAAATTCTTATCTATATCGACACATACATTATGTTGTCTTGAAGATCTAAATAGGAAATATATATATATATATCTTAGGTGTACAAATATATGTTACATTTATATAGTTATGAATACATGATACGTATTCAATGACTCGCCACAGCCGAGGACATGTTTACTTGTTGCTCGGTGGTTCCAGTACTTTGGGCGATCGCGGATCTCGTATCGAGTATCAAGATACGGATGGAAACCTTTTGGTTGTTCAAAGACGACCTTTTCTTTGGCGCATTTTGCCTTCTTGGCTGTTAGGACTGAACAACTGTTTGCCAACTACTGGGTTTTCCAGTTTTCCGTATTAAACCACTAAAAGTTAGTCACTTTTAGCAGGGGAGCAGAAAGCAACCGAGTTTTGACCTTTTGGGTTTCCCTTTTTGGTCTACTTTTAGTAGAGGTCCCAAAAGGTTAACAAAAAATATTTTTACTTCCTTTGGGCAAGTGAGTAAAGGTTCGAGACCACTCAGGCTACCTCGCATTGGGAGGTTAGGGAGAGGCGTCACATTTGTTTGCCTTGACCAGTTTTTGCGGGCTTCAAATCCCCAACCACCAATCCAAGCCGGCAATGAGTGGCAAGCTGAATCACTCTGAATTGCAACTTTCAGACCTTGCAGGGTTGTGCCGTTGCTTATTTGGTTGTATCTTTTGAAAGAGGAACTATTTTTGGTTTGTTTAGGAACCAAGTTGAACATCCACCACTTTCATCCTAAACTCTAAACCCTAAAACCTACACCCTGGTCCCTCCCCTTTGAGGGCAAACCCAAGCCAAGCCAAGCGCGCCCATGGGCCACCCCACGCCCATCGCTCTCTCGGCCAGGACGCAGAGTGCAAGCCAGGCCCGGGGTGTGGCTACACGCTCTTCGAGTGCCTTTGCATTAGCCCCTCGGCCTCAGCCAAAAAAAAACTGAAACAGGAAGTGCTTTTTTTGTTCAGGGCTTTTTTTTCCCCAAAAAAAATCAGAAATCGTCCTGAAAGCACGGCCAGGGAACCAGTACTGTTTTTTAGGAGACCTCTCTCCCCCCAACAAGAACTAGAAGAGGAAGCAGCCGGGCATTTTTGTTCAGGGACCCCCCCAACAAAGAATCACAAAGCATCCTGAAAGCACGACAAGTATATACAAACGTGTGGTTTGTCTTTTGGTGCCCTTTTGTATTGTGTGTGTGTTTTTTAGGAGACCTCTCTCCCCCAAAAACAAAAGAGGAAGCACGACAAACATATTAAACCACATGCGGTTTCCCTGGAAAAAGTCACCAAAAAGGGTCCCATCGAAACAAGACACACCCAACTTGGTGGCAACTGGACACTCCTCTTCGGGCGGTCGAAAGGTTGCGTCGTTGCACAGCCCAGTAGCCTTGCTCATTGGATCCCCGCATGACGAGTGGGTCCTTTTAAGGCGCTGGAGGTTCTGGATCACAACAAGGGGCGCTCGGTGCTTGGGGAGAGGGTCTGAAGGCCTCGTGTGCAGTGACTTACCAAGTCGGAGCTGTGCCGTTATTTCCTCACCAAGGGCATCTTTTATGAAAGTGAATCTCATCTAAGATTTGGTTTGCACCTGTTTTCGCGAATGTAATCTACTATTTGAAGCTTGCGCATGTTTTTTAGATCTTCTCCCCAGATGGACCCATGGTGTTAGCGTTTCCGTGGGAAGACCTCTCTCCCCCCCAGAAGCTAAACAAGGAAGCGGTTGGTGCCCTGGAAAGAGTCACCAAAAAGGGTCCGTTGCCAGTTGAAACCCCCGCGGCGCGTCCCCGCGCTTTCGGCGGCTTCGGTTTCGAGGCCGGGAGATTGCAGAGATGAACTCCCTGGGGGCGCGCCAGGCCGGGTCCGTTTGCCACGGCCTGGCACGGTGGACCCAGGCAGTACTTGGTTTGACCAGCCATCCGGTTCCAGAAAGGTTTTTGGGTGGTGTTTTTAGTTGTAGGTTTTAGTTGGTTTAGTTGGTTTAGTGGTAGATGTTCGTTGGTTTAGTTGGTTTTAGTTGGTTTAGTTTCCGGATTTAACCCACAAGCTAAACTTTTTGCAGGGGTCTGAGGACAGCCCAGGTTACACAAGGATCGTGTGGTAGTTGGGGCATGCACTGGACATGCTCCAGTTCACGTGCCAGTTCCATGTCTAGGTCCCCCAGCTAAGTGCCCTTTCCTCACCCCTTTTATGGGTTGGGCGGGTTTCCCTAAAACAGACGACAGAAAAAAGAAAGTTGGTACCCTTATTCTAACCTCTCTACTGGAGGACCTAGATGTTTCACCGAACAGAAGACCGTGAAGCAGACTGTCTATGGTGAGTCAGCCAAGTTTGGATTATTGAAGCGGCCAACCCCGCCCGCGTTCATGCTGCCTGGGAGACTAAGCCTCCAATGGTGCACCGTTTGGGTGTTCATGTACAGCTGATGCCCTAGATGAAAAGCAAGTACTCAATATGAGGAACCCCATGAAAACCTTGTTTACCAGGTCTTGTGCCGTGATTTACTTATCAAATCCATGCGCAGCCCACTTCGTAGGTTGTATCCATAGCTGTGATAAGTCCATGGCAACCCCCAAACTCCAACCCCCAAACTCCAACCCCCAAACTCCATAGGATCGTCAGGGTAGATGTTCGGGGCTTGGTCCTGTGAGTCCGACAACCGGCAAACAGGAAAGGTGTAGATCCTAAGATGTTCCTGTGAATCCCTTGGGTTCATTTACATGGCTGTGGGTCAAAACCAATGGGATCCCATTTTGGGGATTGGGTGCATCACCCATTTTAGAACCTATTTTAGTGGTTGGATTGAATCGGATGTTCACTGGGGGTATGGCATTTTGACCCATGGCGACATCCGGAGCACCACCAAGCCGGACACCGAGGGGTGTAATACAACATCGGACATGATGCAAACACCGTGTAAAATTCATTTCCCAAGGGTGTCATTTCCGGATAAAACCGTGTATTCCCAGCCTGGGGCCTCAAACGACTGCCGGTTTTTGGTTGTGGTACGGCGCGACCATTTTTTGCTGGTACGACCATTTTTTCGGAACGGTCATTTTCCTTTCAATCGTGCTGAAGGCCTGCCATGCATGCTGCTCAGGCAAGTGGACACTACGCAACTTACGCCAAGGCCTAACGAAGTGACAGGCTGTGAACATTAGTTTGTTTGAACCAACGCATGTTTGACAAGAATTGGGTGTGCAGCATGCTGTGGCTACTGAAACGATCGTAATTTCTCATGCTGCGACGGCGTTTTTTCATACGGCTGTTGTTTTTGCTACCAACGATCGCTTTTTTTTAGGTTAAACACCCATTGTTTTTCTCGGACCACGACCTTTGTTCCTTACAACGCCCGTTTTTGTTGGGTTTTTTTTTCCTCATGCTGCGACCATTTTTGTGACCTGTTGCGCCCGTAGTTTTCCGTACAAAACCCGTACAAAATCCGTAAAAACACCCGCACAAAACCGAACAACACCGTACAAAACCGCACTAAGTACAAAAGCGCACAGAGCCGTATTTAAGCTCAGACATGCTATATCACAACGGTGTTGGGGGCTGCGCTTGCCATGATGATGATTTTTGGTCTAATGCGGGAAATTCATTTTTATGTACCGCGACCGTTTTTTTTGTCGCGCGGCTGAACAAATGATCTTTCGAACCGCGACCAAAAAACGACAGTCTTTTGAGGCCCCAGGAGGGTGTAATACAAACACCCTCAGATCACCCGGGCCGATCCAAAGGCCCGGCTCCTTTGCGGCGCCGCGGCGGCCGTGGTGTCCTGCGGCGTGTGGCTCTGCGTCTTCTTGGCGCCGCTCGAACGCGCGGCTGCGCGCGGGCGGGTAGCGTTTTGGTCCCCGGTTTGAGGTGGACGCCGGATTTTGTTGGGCAATTTGTTGAAGAAAAACTTGTTGGATGTGTTGACAATTTTGTTTGCTTGATTTGTTTGGTGGACTCCTGTTTTTGTAATTTCCCGGTGTTTCTTGCCCAAGTTCGATCCCGATTTGCTTCTTTCCACCTTGGGTTTGGGGCATGCAAATGGAGAGGTCCAATTCTTTACCAGTGAATTGGGCGATCGCGCAGCGTCCAAGAACATCAAGCCATGTTAACAGCTTTCAGCGTGGCCAATGCTCCCGTGCGTTGCCACTGTAGCATTGTCAGATGGTTTGAGGCTAAACTGCAACACTCCATGTAGGTAGTACTTACAACTGCTTCAACCATTGGCAGGGAAATTATTATGTTATTGGTTCCAGTCACTTGTTTGGATTTATAGGAGGAACTGAATTCACCTGCGATATTTGAGACACTGAGGAGGCAACCCTTTTTGCCGGCCATGGCACCTGAGGAGACGCCCGTGCCAGCATCGCGCCAGAATCATGCCGGGCGGTATCTTCCCCGAGACCATAGGCGCGTCAAAAAATGTGCAGAGAATGGCTCGCAGCAGCGACTCGCGCAAAGGCGCAGAGGGCATAGGTGCCCTTTTTGGTTGGTTTGCTTAAAAAATAGATGGCCCTCGTTTAGATGGGGGAAATGCCATTTGCTAGGGCCATCTATGTTTTCGAAAAAGGCCACCTATGGCAAAGGGGTGCTTTGGCAACTGAAAGGTTGAAAGTCCCTATACTTCCCGTCGGTCAACTTGAAGGTGTTTGGCTTGATGGGGAAGGAGTTGTTGATCTATCGTTGGAAATTACCACAACGTGGGCTTTCGGTAGTTGGCAAGCCAGGCTGAAAGTCTTGCATGTATAAGTGCTGCTTGTATCGTATTTCACTTTGCAACAGCGGCTGGATGCTAAGCAGTATTGTGCTCCGGCCAGACTGCTTCATGCTCTGTCCTTCTAGAAACCAGTTTGGATGCGCTTTTCGTGGATTTCAGCCGGTCTTCGCCCTGTTGGTCCTTTCTTTTGTGATCTTTCACATTTTAGTACGCTCCAAATATCCACCAAGACGCCACATACAAACCGTTTTCCGTGGTTCTCGGGGGCCTTGCATTCCTCCGTGGCCTCGTGTTACACCATCGGCATGGGGTCCGAAGACCTGGCCTTTGTGTATTTTTTACTCGCCATCGGCGCCTGTGTTTCCGTTGCACCCATTTCAGTGTGTCGCTTTGCTTTGCGGACCACGGTTTTCTTGTTTGGCTTGTCGAACTGAAGGCAAGTTGTTAGCCAATTGTTTGTTTTTCTTCCTGAGACGCAACCATTTCAGGCAGCCATTTGGAATTTGGAGGCCATTTTTTCTGGGACACATTTTTGCAGGCCATTTTCAGGCAGCTTGCGGCTTGCGGCCCTTTGTCAGGCTCTTCGGATCGCTTCACACCCGTCTGTGTGGAGCAGGCCCCGGTCATAGCGGAGGAGATGGCGAAGCAACCGAAGAAGTGGGTCCGGCAGCCCAAGCGTTGGGGGAGCATTTCTATTTGCCAGGAAATGTGTTAGGGCTCCTTAAAAGATATTTCTTGCCCAATTGAAACATGGCTTTGTCCACCAAAATAAAGGGAAACCACGATTTACAAGTTGCAATGTTCCGGTGTGTAATGCATCCGGATCCCTGCTTGTGAATCCCATGACATGGGCAGCTCTTTGTCATCTTCAGAGTCATCCACGTCATGTTGAACTTTGGGCATTTGGGTTTAGGGCTTTACGGTTTCTTGGCTTTTGGCATTTTACTTTTGGGCTTTAGGGCTTTGGCTTTTGGGCTTTACGTTTTGTGGCCTTTGTGGCTTTGGCTTTCCGCATCCTCAGCATCACACCAGTAACACCCCAGCATCACCGCCTTTTGGCTTTTTGGATTTTTGGTTGGTGGCGTCTTACCTCCAATGTTTCTGTAGATGGGGAGGGCTGCGCCCCCCCCCAACCCCCTGCTTTTTTTCAACGCCCAGCCTAAACTCACGTTTTGCCCAAAAACACGCTAAACCAACCCTAAACCACCACGAAAACACACCCTAAACCACCACTAAAACTAGAACCAACCTTAAAACCATACCCTAAAAGCCAACCCTAAAGAAACCCTAAAGTAGCCTTAAATCAGCAAGACTCCCCACAGTACACCCTAAACAAATCCACTCTAAACCAGCAAGAGACTATCCCTCAACCAACTCTAAACCTACCCTAAACCAACTCTAAACCCCAAACACCCTAAGCCAATCCCGCAACCTACTCTAACCCCACCCAAACCAACCCTAAGTCCGCACTAAGTTTGTATTATTCTGTATTGATGCTGGTTTAGGGAGGGTTTGTATTATATGATCCGCACAAAACCAGCACAAAACCATTGCTAATAAGCCCACCTCAAACCACCCCCACTAAGCAAACCCTATAGCTCCCTAAAGCAACCCCAAAACCAATCCCTAACCCCCCGTACACCAGCACTAAACCCAAACTAAACCCGCTCTAAACCTGCTCGAAACCCACCCTTAACAAACCCAAAGCACACGCCACCAACCGCCCCCTACCCCCCCAGCAAACCAAACCAACTCTAAACCATCCCACCCAGCAGAACCAACAAAGATCACACCTGCCAGTTCCACAGAAAATCCAGGAAAAAATCCAAAACAACACCCCAAAAAACGGACATCTCCACAAAATCCAGAAAACCCAAGGAAAACAAATCGGAACAAATCCCAAAACAACTCGGGACCCGTCATTTATCTCGCTCGGCAAGGGTCGGACCCGCTCTGCTAGTACAGTCCCTGCAGTTTATTGGGGCGCGGCCGGGCTGTTTCCCAGCAATCGGGTGTGTCTTTTATTTCCCCCTTTCCCGGGGAAAAAACAAAAGATGATTTCCCACACGCGGGAAATACTTTTGTCGCAAGACCTTCCTAAACGACAGAAATTCAGCATCAGATTACTTTTTTGACTGCCTTAAGATCGGCCCGGGGTCCTGTTTCCCTTTCACCACAAAAAGGGCAAGAAAGGCGCGGGGAAGGCTATCTACGGTGCGCATTTATTTTGTGTGGCAACGATGCCCAGAAAAGCAGAAGACCCCTGCGGGCATCGTTTTCTGAGCTTAGTTTTCGTGTACCTCAGGTACCTCTTCGTTGATGGGTGGGATTTGTGGTTTGAATTTGAATTGGTAGCTTTGGCTCCTGCAGGATGTTGTGGGTAAATGGGAAGCAACTTCTAAGCTCCAAGGCAAACTAATTACTTGGGTGAGCTGAGTACCGGGAACGTACCTGCAAAGATGTAAAGAAACAAGATCGGTTGCCACTGTAACTTCTACTTGAAGCTTCCAAAATGTTTAATGTTTGTCGTACCTTAAACAAAAAAAAAACATTCTGTCGGGTATGACATTTACCCTCCCAGCAGCTAACATGGAAGTGCACAGACCCCCGTAGAAAGACAGTGTTGATGGGGCTTGTAGCGCAATGTATAGACACACAGTGATGATCCCTCAAGGAGACTCCTTGGACTCGCAGAACCCTCAGCCAGCCGAATGGATTCACACAGACAGGCTGTATCTGATATAGATATTATATGTAAAGTTCATTTCTGCATTTCCTTTTCGAGCTGGAACCCAGTCTTCGTTGGCCGGCCTCAGGATATGCTTACCTGGACATTGGTGGGTGCTTTACCTGCCATTTGCATGGCCGTAGGCGCGCCGCATTTGACAAATCCAGAATTGTGCGACTGGCGACTGGCGACAGGGAAGGTTGGGAGGCCCACAAATCTCAACGTGCGAATGGGGAAGGAATCCATATGGCTGTGGTTGGCAAAAATAGTTGGTAACCCCAAAATTCAGGTTGCTCTGGTAAATGGAAACATGGACTAAAACCTGCGGTCCCTTGGGTGAATTTTGGCCCATACCCATATTCCCTTGGGCCCCATGAAAGTTCTGACTCTTCCCGGTTGAAACATCAGGTCTTTTGTTTGTTTTATTGGTTTTCCACAAATCCCATGCAAAGGACCGTTTGATCAACCCCCAAAGCGGAGAACAACCACTCTCCATGTAGGTGTGGTGCAAGCGAAGGGAAGCATCTCAATCAATGCGGCGAGACCAGCCATGCACATGTTGAATTTGCAATCATCGAGTTGGCACTGAGTTTGTTTGTGGCGCGCGGGTGCGACTGTGTTTGCGTTTGTGCTCGCGTTTGTAGTTGTAGTTGTGTTTGTAGTTGCGTTTACGATTGTTTTCCGTGTATGTGTTTGTTTGTTTATGTGTTGGTGTTTGTTTGTGTCCTGCTGTGTTTTCTGTGCTTTTGTATTTGTGTGTTTGTGTGTGTTTGTGCGTGTTTGTGCGTGCCGGCGGGCCTGAGTGCGTCTGTTTGTGTGTGTGTGTGCGTATTTAGTGCATTGACTTCGTGAGTTGGTCAGTCGATTGGCTGGTTGGTTGTTTGTCCATTGGTCGGATGGTTGATCGGCAAAGGTTTTTTTTTGGCCATGGTTCACTGTTGCCTGAATTTCAAAGTATCATGCCGACGCTCTGCTTGTGTTCGTTTGTTTTGGTTGTTTCACGCCTTTGCTTCAGCTTGACCTTATAGTTGCTCACACTCATTGTTATGTATTATGCTTATTGATGCACTTGCCTTGTCGGGATCCTACAGTTCATACGAGGCTGTTCGTTTCTCCGGGCACCGACTCTTCTGGTCAGGCGTTGCCGTGATCATTTCCGGCCTGTCCATTCAGGTTGGTGAGTCTTTCGGCTGCAACAACAGAATCGAACTGCGATGCATGAATTTCAGTTGCACCTTTAGCAAAATGAGTAGCAGTGGTTGGTTCCTTCTAACATTGTTGTTGT